TTGACAGGTCTCTCATGTGCCAACTTTGCATTCTTTGCATCTTTCACTCTTCTTCATTCTCATTTAAGCTGGATTAACTTTATGCTTCATATCCTTTAGCAATTATCCTTTTTTGTACATTTTGTATATTTACTGCTCTAGTTACTTGGCAGAAACTTTAAGCTCAATATGCAGTACTGTAGAATTGAAGTGACATTCAGCTCTGTCATTTTACAATCAACAATGCTGACTGGATGCACTATCCAAAGTTATAGTAGATTTGAGAAACTTTACCCCTAGTCACTGGTTACATCAACTTGGTTATGTAGCACAGCCATTAACATGATTTCTACAGTCTCTGAATAGATAAATTTCTGTATTTGTTGTGCGTGATCTAACTCATGAGTGCTGACATTTCTGATTTTCACTACACAGTAGTACTATTCCAGATGCTTAATATGCACCAAAGCTATGTTTAGTACTCTCAGTAATGAAATGAGTCCATTTATAGATACGGTTTTTTACTCTTCTCATTTCCTGACTGTTAATTCTGTGATCTCAAATTGATCTTTGCTTTAGAGTATACGTTACTTTGATTTTTAGGGTGACGGCATCTCTTTTTTCATATGCTATTTTACAAGAAATTACATAAATGGTCTGCTTAAGATAAATGAATCCAATACCATGCCTGGCTGAGCTAGGGACTACCAGTTCTCTTTTCTACTAATATAAGCAAAAAGCTGGAACAATCATTTAATCCCAGGCAGAGGCATAGTGAGCTCTTGCAGTGCTCTGGGCAGTGCGCCAAACACTGGAAAGCGGGAGAGTGGGAGGGGGTATGGGAAGTGTCTTACCTTCCCCGGCTCTCTCTGCACCAGAGGCAGATGCTACAGCAGGTGATGAGCAAGCTTACTGTGCACTGGCCAGGATGCCCCCACTCCCTGGATTTTTGCCATGGGAGATCTATCTCCTCACCCAGTAACATAAGTGGGGGTCAGGGTGGGGGGGTGAACAAGTCACCGGGGCATCCCCTACAGAGCCTGTACCACACTGCAGCTGGTGCTCAGGGTTCAGCTGCAACAGCCCTGTCACTCCCTGCTTTGCCCCACATATGCTACTGGGTTAGAAGCTGTGCCTCCTCTGGCAAAAATCTAGGGTGAGGGTGCACCATTCTGCTCAACCCTTCTGCCACACACCATACTACCCGCTAGGCTGCCTGGGTCTATGACTGGGCTGTGTCTGCTGTAAAAACTTCTGGAGTGAAGCATCCTCTAAATTGTCCCCTGGGAGTAGGGGGCTTCATTCACACCCCCTCCCACCAATTACACTACTGATCCCAGATAATGAAATATTATATTAAAATGCCTCAATTCTTAGCTTTTTTCAAAGATAAGCAGTCAACATGTTATAAAAATGCTCAAAGGTGTTTTACTTTTTAAGTCGTAATTTTTATCAGGGAAATTGGGAAAAGCAGGAAAGGAGGCTGGGTATTAATTTTCTCCAATCTGACTTTTAGATGGGGTTCCATTGAGCTGGTGGATTGGAAGAACCAATGAAACGCAGACTTACTGGGGAGGTTCTCTGCCTACAGTTCAAAAGTGTACTTGTGGATTGGAAGGGAGCTGCATTGATTCCCAGCATTACTGCAACTGTGATGCCGACAGAAATGAATGGTGATTTGTGTACTGTTTACCTGTACTCTATATTTTCCTCTTTGAAAACAAGCTGAAAAATTATACTGGTTCTAACAGATATAAAGTACCACAGCTACTAGGGAGAAAAACTAATATATTCTGCTAACCCTAATTTAAAAACCATACCAAATAGAGATTAACTCTTAAAGGGCTAAATGATAATTATTTTGCTGTGATTTCTGGTTTTAGTTGATACTTGAGGATGGTATCATTTTGTATTAAACTGCCCAATTTGAAGTAAATTGCATGTTCTACTATTACTAGTTAAAAGCTCGGCATATCTTTCCGTCATTAAAATTAGAACAGTGAAGCTAATTGGATTTAAACTATATGTTACTGGAGCAAAGCATTCACTTTATTTTCTTAAGAGATTTCCATTATCTCTTTTAACTATGCTTATTAGCGCTTTCCAATAGATTCCGCTAGATTCATTATCTAAGAATTTAGGCAGTGAAATCCTGTTTCCATCAGCCTCAGTGGAGCCAGCATTTCATCCAGGATTCTGACTAGTTTGGCATATGAAACCTGGATTTTACTGATTGGTATTTCCTATTTGCAAACTCAGATCTGCTTTTAACCCTCTAAATTCATCTTGTACCCTTGGTCTCCAATTCGAAGTGTACAAATAAGTGTTGAGCTCAAGCTATTCAAATATATTTATTTATGTATTAGAATGATAAGGCACCCTTCCCAAAAAAGGTTCAGAGAAGCTTATAGAAGAGAGCAGAATAACTTATAAAACAACCAAAGAAGAGAACAAAACAAGAAACAAAACAATTTATTAAAAGCAGCACAGTATTAAAATAAGATATAGGGCACCTAACACCTAAAACAATATCCCAGCCTACGCTTGTCTCCTAAATTCCTGCCCGAATAGGGATACATCAAAAAGATGCCTAGGCTTAGTCTCTGACAGGTCTCAATGGGGAGGGAATTCCAGAGCTGAGAGGCAACAATGAGAATGGTTTTCTAGGTGTTTTTGTCAAGTGAATGTGGTACATTGATGTTATTTGCAGAAGTCTACCTTTGGCTGACATTTGGGATCATGATGGGGCACAAGGGCTAAGGCAGTCCCTTAGGTATGTAGGGTTCATATACTTCAAGATCATCAACCTTGAATTACCTCCAGAAAGCTATTGGGAACCAGAGAAAACTATAGAGCACTCGATTTGTGTGCTACTGGCAACCACCTCTCTTCTCTCCATTCCCCCTCCACCTCCCCCAAGAGAGGACAGGACCCTATTTTCTGTACCAGCTACAACATTGGGTTGGTCAAGGGCAGTCACACATAGAGGTTATTGGAGTAGTTTAGCCTTGAAGTTATGAAAGGTAATGGTGGCCAGATCCAAATCCAAAAGAAAGAATTACAGCCTTTTTACCAGATGGCTCTTTGTTTAGGAAGCTAAATCCAGCAATCTGGTTTAATACCAATTTTGGTACAATACAGATATTTGGTTAACAGGACAGGACATTTTAAATGAAAAAAAAATCTGTTTCATTGGGCTTCCTCTTCAAATTTAACTCATTTAAATCATATACAGTGGGTATGCAATGCATGCACACAGATTCATTGGCTAGTGGTACATAGATTATGCAATAGAAAAAGTACCATGAAACCTGGGAGTTTGGATAGCAGATATGAGGTAGGGGCTATCTGCACCCTACTGTACAAAATATGAATTCAGAGATCTCTTTGCCCTTCAAGTAAGCTCCTACCTCTCAAATGAAAGACTAGTGGATTTAGTTTGTGAATTTTGATCAAAGAAGGAAGATAGCAAATGTAGAAATGAAAGCGCAACAGATGGATATTTACAGAAGAATTGTTTACAAGGTATTAGGTTTGCATGCGTTTAGAAACATAAACAATATGCGTCTTCAGTAAAATTTGCAGACAGAGCAACATTTTCAGTGTTATTTTTATAAAGAGGTTTAATAAACACCCATCACACTAAGAATTTCCCTTTTTTCATTGTAGAAAAATATAAATGACTTATGTTTCCATTTGCAATATAAATTTTGAGACAGCATTTGTTGAGTAGTTTCTAATTATAATATAACATAGCTTATAACATATCTTGTCCATTTTGGTTACACATTTAATTCCTGCTTATTTTTGTATGACCTTGCCATGGGTACTCCGTACTTTTGTGTAAAATAGACAGAGGACAAAATAGTTTAAACTAAAGAGCATACATTTGTCCATTTTAGCCAGCACATATAACTTAAACATGCATATGAATATATGCCATTGACACCTTATCAAAATATTTTTCTTGTTGTATATGTTGTGGAATTCTTGCGTTTTCACTTCCACTGAAGAGAGACATTTTCATGAGGGATTTGCCCTTTGCCTATAAAAACACAGAGGGGTCTGGCTGCATCAGAAATGGTTTGGTTCTGCTACATGGGACAGGCTTGATGCAGGAAACACTTTCAGCATAGGCACACCCATTTTGTGAAGACACCTGAAAATGTGGATGTACTTAGGCAGGAGTAACATGATCTTGGGTGTAGCAAATTGGCTTTCAATCCTGGTTCTAAAGTTGCTTTAGAAGTCTTTACGTACTGTGCTGGAACAACCATTCGGGGCTGGATCAACGTCAACCTTGTAAACATATAAACAGAATTTGGGGTTTAGGTGTCTGTAACAGAGCACCTTGTGCAATGAGCCTGCACCCTGTGCAGTGAGCACCCTGTGCTCTGTTACTATCAGGATCCCAAGTAGCAGCCCGCAGCTGCTTGTTGTCCTAATCAAGCAGAGTTGCCTGATTGGGGAACAGGGCCCAAATGGTGTATATAAGGGCTGGATCCCTGAACTGAAGAGCAACAGTTTGCTGCTACCAGCTGAGGAGGCAACATTCAGCTGAGCTGGTGCCTGGAACACCTTGAAGGTAAGGGCTGGGGCAATGGGGAAGGAGGAGGCCCTATAGCCTTGGGTATGACCTAAAACTTTACCCTGCCAGGGAAGGGTGGCCTGGTGGAGCTACCTGTGGCAGGGTAGCTCCCCAGAAATGCCAGACCAGTTACCTTCTCAGTGAAAAGTGGGTAAGGGTACCTGCAAACTTCAGCCCCTGCATCCCTGCTGGGTTGTGACCTGAGACAGGGGGAGCCCAGGCTCACTGCAAGCACTGAGGCAGGGCCCAGGCTGGTGGAGAGACTTGTGGCAGCACCCAGTCTCTCAGGAGATTCCGGGCACATTAGGGAGCTGGGAGCTAGGCTCCAGGGGGGTGGGGCTCTGAGCCTTGGGGAGCTATTAATGAAGCTCCTGAGGCAAAGGGATATGGGTAACTTAGATTGTAGTGGGATGGGGCTTGGAGCCCTAGTCCCATAACAAGGGGCTTGGAGCCCAATGTGAGGGGCCTGGGGTCCAGAGTGAGACATAGAGCTGAGAGAGGTTTGGGGCCTGAGGACGGGGCTTGGACCCCTAGGATGGGGCTGGCTTGTGGCCTGGGGACAGGGCTTGGAGCCCAAGGACAGGGTTTAGAGCTAGTAGAGGCTTGTGGCCCAGGGACAGGGCTTGGAGCCCAAGGAAGCCTGAGGATGGGGCTTGTAGGCCCAGAGATTAGGATGTGAGCCCAGTGTATAGAGAAGGTGATAAGGCCATGTGTGAGGCCAGGATAGATGTTATTCAAATTACCAATTGCTCAAATCATGAGCAAGACTTTATAAAGGGGGATAAGGCAACATGCCGTGTTTATTGATTACATGAGTTAGACATAGAGGTTTGGACACACCATTCATATAAACACACACAAATCATTATAAACATCATTATTCACAGGCATACACATACACAAAAGAGCCATTCCATTCACATGTACACCAGATATACAGATAACTATAGTTACCAGCAATAGTTGCCAGGGTGGGCAACCCAGGCTTATTGAGTAGATGATGATTTGAACATAGCAGATTTGAAGATAACAGCTGGAGCGGGGTGAACAGATGCATCTGTGCTCCGATGACTCAGCAGTAGAGAAAGAGACTCACCAACTTGGCATTTTCAAAGTCTTCTTTTGTAGGGATTGGCATCCTTTGTTTCAGTGCTTTGGGGTTTTTCCATACCCAGCTCCTGTTTTTGCAGCTTTTCTTTTGTCTTCAGCTTATCTTAGCCTTGGAGTGTTCTTGCTGCCCGTCTGGCAGAATGGGTGCATTTCTTTTCCTCGTTATCTTTTTTGTGCCCTAGGCCTAAAAGAGATTCATCAGCCATTCATTAATTAGTTTACTGACTGGTAACTTACATTTGGCACCTTGTTGCTTACATAAACAGTTTAATCTTCTCCCATCTTAATGCCATTCTTTCACCATTCACCCTTTGAGACACACTCATACATAAGTGAATAAACTCTGCATAGCCTTTATGTCAAGCAGAAGGATACAAAATAGAGTTTTCAAGTTGCTTACAGGACAAGACTAACGTGGTTATATTTCACTATTATTACACTCTATGTTAACATCAGCTACATTAGTTCAGTTCACGCTACACAGAGAATCCAATGTGAGGGTGCTGGGACCTCAAGCTCAGGTGGGGAATGAGAGTCCCACGTAAGACTCTGGAGCTTGGGTCCCAGTGCTAGTTAGCTGGTGGAAACATCTGCAAGGCATAAGACACATTAAAGAGAGGTCGGAGCATGTACAGAGGCCCTTGTCATCAGGGCAGGTAAAGGGGAGCCTTCCACCTGATCAATATCAAGTAAACAGAACATCAAGGTGTGGCAGGTGAGACAGGTGGGTGGCTAGCTCAGAAAGAAGTGGGCGGGCCTATATTGAGATTATCCCCGGGACATCTGCTTGTTACAGTGTCAAAAAACAAACTGCTACAACATCAGCATCAGAAATGGGTTGGCACAAAAGTACTGAGAAGCCTCCATTTTTCAATTAAGAACAGACTTGTAGTTTGTTACAAAGTAGTCACAGGTGGCAGTGGTACCATCTTTTGCCCAGTAGCCTTGTTGTAAATTCTAGACTTGGATTTGGCCGGAGTTAATTCAGACTCCTTTCCCAGGAGAGTGGCCTAAACAGGAGGGTCCATACTAGGTTGTGTGAGAACCAAGTTACTTTCTGGCAGCAGGAGGCCAGAACCCAGGACTCCCCCCATCCTCAGGTGAGTGTCCTCCGTTGTCTTTGAGGGTGCCTATACATGAGCACCGAGGCTGCTCCAGTGTCCTGGAATTCCAGCGCATCAGAGCAAACTTTCTTAATTGAGTCTGCTAGACTGTGGCAATTGCCATGCTCCAGCAGCCTCCTGGGTCTTGTATATCAGCATCGTCGTGCTAAAATGGCAGCAGGGACGCCATTTTCAAGTGTGGGGATGCAGATACAAGAGATGTGGTGGCACATTAATTAGAGCTCTCGCAGCTGCTGTAGTTAAAGTGCTGTCCCTGCCTACCCCCAGAACACGTGTAAAAGTGCCCTTTGTCATTTGACTGCACCTCTCCCTTTCTGCAGAATTTATGCAATAAGTATTGGTCATCTTTGAATACTAGCTGCATAATTCTGGTTTGTTTTTGTTTTTTTTTTTTGTGTGTGTTATTTGACTTTATAAAGTTGAATATAAAAGAATAGCATCATGATTTCAGAATTCAATTCCCTAAATAATTTAATTTAAAAAAATGGAAAAGCAAGCCATTTTACAACCAGTGCTTTCCCAATGACATAACATTACTGACATGTGCAAGTACACTAGACTAGCTAGGTTTAGGAGAGCAGTTAGGTACCTAATTACATTGAAAATAAAATCTCATGCTCCTGTAGGTGATCACAACCCTAAACCTGCCCACTATTTCTAGAGGTTCAATTAGGTGCTTAACAGATTTTAAACCTCTTAAGGACCACAAGATAAATGTTAAAGAATCTGTATGTGCACTCATACTGAAAATTACCTTTATTACTTTACACTGCAGCTGTATCTTTTGAAAATGTGGTCACATTCTGCTTTCTGGAGAAGTTCAGTGCATATAGTACAGGGGCAATATACATCTCTTCAGTGGCTTTTAATCAGAAACAGTTCGGACATTTTTTGTTCTTATTTCAATTTTTCAGGACTAATGATACTGGATTCCTCTCCAATAAAGAGCATCTTCCAGTAACTGAAATTGTTATCACAGATACAGATCGACCAAATTCTGAAGCTGCTTACAAGCTTGGGCCTTTGCTTTGTCGGGGTGACAGTAAGTAATAACAGACATTTTCTTTAACAGGAGTTTAAAAACTATAATGATTAACCAAAGTTTTACATGTCATGTATGGTAATAAACTGGCTGAAAGATATTTTAAGATGATCTCATCTAATCGCTTGTGGCTAATGTAATATAGAGTAAGACAGAGAATTTTTATTCAAAGAACCTAAATAGATTTTTAAAAAGATATACATATAGGGAGATGTAGTGATGCTAAATATAGGAATAGTTAGCATGGATTGCAAGCAGGCACTGGGAGGATAAACTCATGTTTTCTGTGTTCTTTTAACTCAGTCCTGGTTACAAAGTTTTACTATGTAGAGATTGTTATAATCACTTTCAGAAGGTTGGGAGAAATTTACTCATGGGCCTTGTTTCTACCATGAACCCCTATGTCTACCTAAAAATGTATTGTACCAGATACAAGATGTTTGTGTACTTAGTTTATGTAGGTATATGAAAAAAACTGCTGTAAGAGATACGGTCTCCTGGAAGACATGGCTGATATTTGCAAAGTACTTGTGAGAAAAATTTTAACTAAAAATGAGAATCGCCAAGAATAAAGAAACGTATACAGTGGCACTAAAATATAGGTCTGATGGTTATTGATTATGTAAAGTATCAAGAACAGTCTTATGAATTGAAGAAATAGTTGAAAGATAGTGAGATATCAGAAACAAAATTGAAAATTTACTTTCCAATATTAAATAACATCTGAGTTGTGTGATGAAAGTCTGGTTGTTGTTAACGTTACAAACCCCACAAAATCAGATCCCAAAGTCATGGGAATTGTGGGGAGTCATGTAGATTTTCTTGTGTTCATTGTACTGCTATGATATGTGTGGAGTCAATGTTATGCTTTATCCATGTATGCTGCTTTTATCACTATGGATTATGCTATCCTTTCTGTACATGTAGTTATGATTTTGGACATTGATTAATCAAAGAGACTGAGGGATGTATACTTCAGGAAAAAGTAGTAGGCAAAACTACTACTAAATATCTCTTGCCATTGTGTTCTAGAGCAAGGACAACTATCACTCCCAATCAGACCAAAGGAGCCGTTGTTAGGTTGGGCACCCAAGCATTGTCTGCCTATAATGGGAAAATCAATCCCTCAGTAGCAAAGGTATCTGAGAGTAATGGCCCATTAGCAAAAAGAAGGTCAGATGTCCCAGGAAGAGAAATTTCTAGAGCGTTCTAAGATACTTGAGCAATAATGACAATGCTGATGGTGGGTGCAGAAAATGAAGTACTGGCTTCTCAAAGGGAGCTGGAAGTCCTCAGTGTGCGGTGGCAGCCCAGTGGTTCAGGGAAGGGGGTTACCTGTTCAAAGGGCTGTGGGCAAGATGTCTACCACTCCCACCCCCTTGCAACTGATTGGTTGTGAGGGCTGCCTCATGTGGCCCCACCCCTCTCCGCCAATTGGTGGTGATGGGCAGGACTTCATGATGGACAGCCCTTGTAGGCAGTCACCAGCAAGGGGTAGGCTACATGACAGGCAGCCCTCCCCCCCCCCCCCCCCCCCC